CAAATGGGACCTTTGCACACAAAGGAACTCAGGTTGGAAACAAGAGACATGTAAAGATCCGCTGTCGGTCAGGTACAGCATATTGCATGCTTGCAATTCAAATAAGATAGAAAGCAAGTCCTGGTGAACAGTGACATGTCTTGCCATTTGGAAACTGCACAGAACCTGATGGTTTGTGAAAAATCCCAGGACTCTAAAGTTGAGAAGAGGTGATGTAATTAAGATATCACACCCCAAATCATGAAATCCTCTCAGCCTTTTCTCAGCAGGGATGGGAAATCTAAGCTCACCACAGCAACACCACATGGCCCTTAATACACTGGGACAGAGATGATCACAAGAGTCACAATAATATCTCCTTCTGTCAGCTGATAACAGGTCGCCACACACCTTGTTCGGATAATTTCACACCACCAGGGGAATTTATAACCATAACAAAAATTACATCAGTGTTCACACAGTACCTCTGCAAACCAATTTGCAACACTGTACAATATCTGTTACTGTCAATCCTAAAATAATACAGTCAGAATTAGGTATAGCTCAATACATTTGGAAATATTTATTTTATGTCTGCTTTTACATATGTGTGGCATGTATATAATACAACTCTGGGATGAAAATTTGCACTTTACATCTGTGGAGATACATACTATTGATGCCAATCTAAAAGTCAAAAGGAAACGTGTGGCAGGTATTATCTTCTGGCAGATAATGTATTTGTTTTGGGATGTCTCACTAGCTCAATATGGTTTTGTGCTTTGATTGCACATCTATTTGCTTGTTTAGGCAGGGAAATGATCAGGGAATTCTACACATATTTGCAAAACTATTTGGTATAAATGGAATTTATATTACAGCATCAGTGCTGTAATTTCACTATGGAAAATATTCTAAAAACAGCCACTTCAGTCTACAGAACTGCAAATCAAAGGACTGCTACTTGCAGTTTACTTCTTTGGTTTTAATGTGTGGAAAATCAACATGGAAGTGCTCCATGTTTTTACCTGTGAGAGATCAGTTTACAACTTGAATTGATCTGAGATTAATAACTCCTCTTTAATGGGTATTCTTAAACTTGTCAATTAAAACAAATTCTAGCATGTTTATCACACTTTATTTGTTTTGACAAACAAATATTATTCAAATTTACCTCCTAATTGTCTTCTTTGCAGTTCTCTGCCATGCTCATAAGAATTATTTTATATAGCCCCTTTCAAGTGAAGACATGTCTGAGCACATTAGACTAGAAAAATAAATCAACAGTACATAGGCAGTTAACACACAGAAAAGAGACTGCATTTCTGTATTGAAAGTTGGGAAGTGCTCGCCCAAAGAAGTGTCTTTAATCAGCTTTTCAAGACAGATGGTTAGAGGCTTACAGTCTCAGGCAGAGCAATCACAGTTTAGGTCCATATCTATAGAAAGTTCTATCCCCTAGTCATTCAGTGACTAATGTACAGTAAGGCATCTTGACATGGGCACACCCAGCAACTGGTGGAGCTGGTGGGGTGGAGTGTAGGAGTTTAGCCAATCCCATATGTGAAGCCAATCCCATACGGGAATTCAATGCAGGAAATGTAGGGAATCTTGAAGAGGAATAATATTTATGTGGGAACAAGATTCTAGCAGCTGGGTTTTGAGCTTTTAAGTACAGAGTCTGTGGACTGCGCATTTAGACCCCATTCTCAGATGTCCTTCTTTCACCTGTATAATATAACCTGTTTTCTGTTTCAGAAAACAGGTTGTTTATACAGGTGAAAGAAGGACATCTTTGAGATATTCCAGAGAGTAAAGCAGATTTACTCTTTCCTTAGCTGTTACATGACAAATGGAATTACCTGATGTTTTCTACAAGAAGATAATTGGTGATTGTAGGATTTTGACTGTATCTGGACTAATGTAGAGACACACAGAGCAAGTATACTGTAAATGGTGTTTAAGAGACATGCATCACTGGCTGAAATTGGGGTGGAGTGTGGACATTCTTTTAATATCCAGTATTATAAATTTTCACCTACACTGCACAGACACACACAGCATTTTTGCATCCTTATGGAAAATGTAGAATTTTCTTGAAAGAAATTTAAGAAGATGGAACATTTTTTACACATACTGTAACATGGCACTGAGACAAAACTCATAAATGTCATCAGTGATCTATCACAGACTAATTAAATATAATTTGCAGTGGCCAGAACAGGTTTTGCTGCCAGTATTTAACTGCACTACTTGTAGTAAGTTAGTGTGGCTGACAGCTACGACTCAAGGAAACAGTATTGGTGATTTTAGAACTTCTTGTCTTTTAATCAGGTTGACAAATTATCTGGTGAAGATATCGCTAGAATTTGTTTTCATTAGCCACAGCATGAGAGAAGAAGTCAATAATATATTTGCAATTCCAAAGAGACATACTATACAGTATATTTACAAATGATAAACAAGCTCTGTCAGATATTTGTTGAATACAGCTGGGACAGCCATCCATAGCAACAGGAAGGCTTTCTCTTTGAAAGAGACACAACCTCTGGACACAAGAGCTATCAGGACAGGCACAAATCAGGCCAAGGATTATTATCATTGGAGCTGTGAAGAGGCCTTTCACGGCCTTGTCTGAACTACTTTTTAAACATTTAAACACCATTGCACAGTATGCAGTGCACAGTGTTTCTCTTTACACCAGTTTTTGTACAGTAACAATCTAATGAAATTACCTTTAAAAGTGAAAATAAACTACTAAACGACTTATTTTGGACACCCTGCCTTTCCCATACTGTTATTTCCAAGTACAGTTTGAGTTACACCACAGTTAGTAAGTCTTGAAGCTTTTTAAAGAGTATATGTACACAAATGAGCTAGTAGTGATATGGGACTACAGACCCCTTCCTCTTGCATTTCTGGAGTTAAATGTATGAAGTCAAACTTATACAGCCCCTGGCTTCAACTAAGGGATGATTTATAATGGGCTCATACCCTTTATGCAGTTCATGAAAGAAAAGCTTATGACTATATTTAAAAAAAAAACAGATGAGATTTACTGTGCAAATTCCTCTGATATGCCCCCAGAGTCAAAACTCTGAGATAACATTTTCAGCCAGCCGATGTCCACAGTCTTTTGTTTTCCTCACTGCTCTGAAACCTCCGAAAACACAAAACAAGTATGGATGTTATAGAGCATTTTTAGGTAACCTTTCTTTTGGAAACAGGTGGAACAGATATGAAGCAGATTTATCTTTGTGTTTCGTAATTGTGGTCTACAGGAAACACAAATATATTGAGAAGCATTAATTGCCCTTTATAATCATGTTCGTGCTTTTAGTTGCCTTCAGGGCTATAAGTGTTGTAAAGATACACTCAAAGGTTAGGGTTGACCAGCAAGGACTCACTGCTGACCACTAGATGTGGTTGAGAGCTTCACATCCACCGATAAGAAAGACTACAAATGAGAGGAAGCCAATTGGCCCATCTGGCCCACTTGTGAGTTACAGTAAATGATCTGAGGATCACCTCCAGCTGTCTCTCGAAAGAAGCCAAGGTCTCAGCCTCAACTGCATGGCTGCAGCACTGCCCATTGGATAGAGACATGCCTTCATTACTGGATTTAAAATGTACCTCCAAATTGTTTTCACCTGTGTCTTCTGGCGCGTGTCTCATTATTCATGATGAAAAAAATCTGCCGGGTTGAATCTGTCAGCTCGTTTGAGGACTTTGAAAACTTATAAGGTCTCCCATTAATCTCCTCTATTCAAAATGTAAAAAACAAAAACACTTCTCTCAGCCTGTGTACAGTGTACAGTAGTTTAGACCAGCAATATCTTAATCTGTTTTACAGTTTTAAAATACCATCAACTGATTTCAATTCTATGTTTTTAACTGCATATCCTAAGATTTTGTTTGCCGTTTTAATCGCTTTCCTATATTGTCTAGATAGAAGATGTGTCAACGTAAACACCTAAGTTTTTTTCATACACAATACTTACACCCCTTATTTACAAACATCAACTTATCAACCTATATGTGTGAAGCATTCTTTTCTCAGCAGGTTCTTATTACATTTTTCAAAACAAGGGATGATCCGTATGTGTGCAGCCTTCAATTCAGATTCATGTTTTCTTTTTTTTACTTTTTCTTCACTGTCATCCATGATAGCCATTTTGTGCAAATCATTATCATGAGTTGTTAGGGGTTCTTTCTAGCCATGCAAACGGGTTTGGGGAATCTGGAAAAGCTGCACAAGGTAGGAAGACTCTGGGACTTTCTTCTAGGACCCGCGGAATGAAACAAAATGAACCGAACGTCTTCTCATGTGTAACCTTTCTTAAGTCAAACGACAAATAACACCAATGCGACCCCAGTCAAGAAAAGTGGGAAACTCAAATTAGTCACGTTTTTTTAACCAGGAAACTCACTTTTTACAAATAAAAAGTTAAAGCTGTGGGTGTGACCAACGGACACTTCATTTGACGGGTAGTTTTGGTGTGACAAACATGGAAATCCACTGTTAAATTAAAAACCGTAATGTTATTCTTAAGGGTGGGGTGGGTTTCGGCGTTGCCATGGGTTACATCTGTCTTAACTGGAATGGGCACCAGGATCCCATGAGCTCAAAGCGTAAATTAAATACAAATAAACTTCTAGGCGTTTGACAAACGAAGGGTGAAGAATAACGCTTAAAAGGTCAAAACTTTGAATCAGACTAAAAAAAAAAAATTCCGAACCAAAAACGAGATGAAAGCCTCATTCACAAATGCATTCTCGCTTTACACCTGACTGTACTCGCGTACAGCACGTCTCTGGCGCTGGATCGGAAAACTAGGAGATTAAGCGAGCGCTCAGGGGAGGAGAAAAAAACACACAAAGCGTGAAACTGAAACCAAACGGTTACAAAGTTTACAATGAGTACACACACACACACAAAGCGTGAAACTGAAACCAAACGGTTACAAAGTTTCCAATGAGTACACACACACACACACAAAAAGTGGCATCAGCCCGTCCTTTCCAAGCGCCGAGCGGCTGGGAGCGGCTGGGAGCGGCGGCGGCTCCGGGGGGCGCGGTGGGTGCCTGACCCGCCCCCGCCCGCACTCCCACCTGCGCGGCCCGCCGGGCAGCCGGCGCCGCGCTCCTCCCCGGTGGGTGTTCCTGCGGGATGGCGGGCAGATCCATTGGCTCTTTCGAACGGCGCTCCAGAGGGCTCTGCATGGCGCCCGGAGAGCCAGGGGCGGCTGACAGTTGGAGCTGGTTGGGAGAGGCGAGCGCGTCGCGTCCGGACAGAAAAACGCCGGGTCCAGCCACAGGTGCCAAGCCGCCCGTCCCTGGGCCGATGCCGGTGAGTAACGTCGGCGATGGGGATCAGTTTGGAAGTGTTTTTGTTGTTGTTGTTGTTTTTAAATGTGTGTTGTCCACCGTCCCACCCCTCTCCTCCACTCGCCCTTAGCCGGAGCAACAAGTAGCTCAGCTGCCTGCTCGTGGTGGACGAGTCTGTGATCGGAAACATGCATTTAGGAAGAATAACACGTTTTAAATAACTTTGGCTGCGAAATAATAACGCGGGGAAAAAAAAAAAGTTTTAGGTTGCTTTTCATGCGGGGCGAAAAGGGGAGCAGGGAACATCTGAAGTATTCGTGCCTGTGTGTGAATGCATGAGTCAGGCTTTGGTGCTGTCGGACGGGGGTTACAGATTTGAAAACGGAAGGACGCTGATTAATTCTGCTCTACCAGCATCACGGCTTTAATTTGGCTGCGATGTAGCTGCAGGGAGCGAGATTTCTTCAGAAGAGAAAAAAGGTCTTTTCACCGGGGAGGGGGAGAGATATGACAGTACCACCAGGACGTTTCTGAAATCTGATGCTGCTTTAACATGCCGTGTCTTAAATATGAGAGTTTATTGAATTCAAGTCTGAGGATGACGTAATCCAGCAATACTGTATGTTATCTTAAGTACCGTACTCGCGTTTCATTGCATGTGTTTTGTCCGCTAAGACCCACTTTGAGCTCAGCTGACTGGGGTATGTGCGAATTATGGGCGTTTTGTCATTGCTTTCTTCGTCCGTCAATCACAGTAATGTTACAACTTCGGTGTACTTATCAGGCAGTTTAAAAGGTTATTGCCCTCGTTTGTGCTGTTGATAAAGCCTTAGGTAATCCTGGGGACACGTTTTATTTTGTTGATAATCTCGGAAAGTAATGACTCCCAACTGAGAAAACGATCAGAAACCCATTAGACAGTGCGATTATTGCAAAATCAAACGAGGATTGTTTTTTTTTTACTGCACATTAGCAGCTCGCCAGAGGAACCACCCCTAGTGAATGGCTGTTGTTCTTTCAGAAACCGGGTAACGGTTTAATGAAGGAGCTCAGGGATTGTAGGCATCTGTTTCCTCAGACACAGTCTGTTTGCCTTGGAAAATCGAGTTACACCTTTCGCCAGTTCTGCCTACAATGCGACAGTGTTACTGGCGGCGCTTAAGTCCCAAAATGACAGTGGCAAACGTTCATTTTACAGTCTAAACATATTGCAAGGGGGAAAAAAAAACCCACTACAGAACCTCGTGGGTAATGCTGTCAATAAATCAGCTTTGTTGTGTGGGATTTTAAAAATTAAGTATTTCATTTAAAGTAAAATAAATTAAATGCCCCCTCCCCCTTCCAGCACAGTGTTCACAGGGGTTAAATCTGCCTAAAATATGGTGTCCTCATGCCTGAATTTAGCTTTAGCTTACAGTAGCACATCAGGAAATGTTTAAAATGATTTTAGGAAGTTCATTATAGGAATGAGTTCATGAGTCATCCCCTTGGCTTAATGTTTTGGGCTGAAGCGAATCTAAGATATTTGTAAACTATTTGCTAAAAAGCAGCGTGTCCAGATCTTGGAAAATTTATTATTTTAGCATAATCCCTTACAGTCTGTCCTTCACTTATTTTTGCCTCGTGGTCGAACAAGCCTTTTTGTTTATTGTGAAACTGCGTGCTGCCTTTGTGTGTTTTTAGATGAAAATATTTTCAGAGTGCTCTACTTGAAGGGTATGAACTGCCTGGGACCAGATGTAGCACATCTGCTGGAAGGAGCTCTTCTGACTGAAAGCTGTGTGTACCCTTTGGGATGTCACTGACAGATGGCCGTACCGACGGCGGATGCATTTGGTCGGTAGAGGGGAAAAAAAGTGAGAAAGGGGCAGGAAGTCTATGTTTTGAGCTGATGGCACACAGTACCTGGCCTTGAACCCGATCTGGTGCCCCCCACTCTGTACTTAACAGTGACGTGTTCTGCAAGTTGTTCGTCGTGGTTTTTCCCTGTAGAGAAAAACAGTTCACTTGTAGTATAATTTAGTTCCTGATTAGATCTTGCTCCGCATCGGGAAGAGTGGAAAGCATCATCTTCAAGCTCACTTATAAGGCTGTGCATGGCCTGGCACCTCAGTACCTGTCCGAGCTGTAATCTGTCTGCTCCCCACCCCTGACTCCGGTCTCCTGCCCTCTGCCTTCTCCTGCTGCACCCTCAAGCTCTGGCACTGCAGCCCCAGGGATATCAGAGAGTCACCTTCCCCGAGCTCTTTCACGCCTAGTGTCAAAACCTTCCTTTTCAGAAAAGCTTTAATTCCAGTGGCGTTTGTCTGCTCCATGTTCTAGTCACCACATAGTTTCTTCTGAACCTCTAACCACTGGTGTAACTTACAGTTCTATGTGCTTAATTTGTCATTTGCTATCCCTATAACCGTATTACAGTTATTGTAAAGATGCTATTTTGTTAGATTCTACGTTTAAAAACACTATATGAAATTAAGCTTACAGTTCCTATCTGAGGAATATTGTGTAAGGTTGGAGTGGGGAAGAGGTTAATTCCAAGCTAAAAAGCAGAAAAAAGCACCTTGACTGTATTGCTATTGGGCTTCACACAACTGAAGAAGACTTTACAATTGAAAGATTGTTTTTTTCTTTTTTTTCTGCCTTTTAGCTTGGAATTAACCTTCACCACTTCTTAATATTCCAAGAGTTGGAGGCAGATGCTGACATTATTTAACACTGTGGGTGAGAATGTCTTGTGTGGGAATTAGTGTACAATCTTTTTAAAATGGTGCAGGCATGTTCATTGTGTTTAAAAGGCATGTTTAGAAATTGTGTTCATTGACCGTTTTTCAGCAACAGAGCTGTATTATTTGAGGGAGTTCAGAATCTAATGTAATTACATTTGTTAAGTCCTTATTTTAGAGAGATTTATATCTCGTTTGTTGAAGACGAATCACCAATTTCTGTCTCTGTTTTAAAGTAGCAAAACACAATTGTATTTGTTTTTGTGTCTGGTTTAAGCAATTCATATTGGATCATAAGGAAAGGTCAAAGCTCACATTAAAAACGCCTGGGCGGTTCTGAACCTTTTGTACATGTTTGCTGTGCTTCAGTTATTTGCTCTATTTTGAGTTATGCTGCAGTACCTTTAAATTATTCAATGAGAGCATTAAAGTGCAGTGTAGAAAAACAGTTTGAAAGGTGGACATGATGTTATTTATATTTTATATTACTTTTATGTTATTAGATTGTTATTTATATTTATTTAGAATCACTCATAATAACCATTAGCATTAGGCTTACCTTCTTTTTACATATCATTGTGAAGGGTGTCTTGTACTGGTAGAAACGGATACAATACAGACCAGCGTGTGACGTCTGTTTAACCCAGAGACGGGTCTAGCTGGTGGCTGCAGTCCTGAGAGCATCGCCTGTCCTAGGGGAGAAAACCAGCCTTGTGGGCAGGTGTCCCAGAGCCCAGCAAGGGGACCCGATCAAGTCCTTCGCGTGTCAGAGAACAGTATTGTTCCTGAGCTCGGGGCTTTGCACACGCCTTTGTAGTGCCTGTTTTCCCTGTGATTCCCAAGGGGGGAAATTAAACAGGGAAACAAGAACAGCTGCATCCCTCTCTGTGCTTCACCTGGGAATTGCACCTCTGTGTTAGTGGCACTAGTTTCTCTCCTGTATATTCATGTGTATTTATAACGGGCGGAGCGGTGGCTCTGTGGGTCAGGATCCGCGCCTGTGGCTGGAAGGTTGCCGGTTCGTATCCCGCGGCCGGCAGAGTAATCCTACTCCATTGGGCCCCTGAGCGAGGCCCTTAACCCCAGCTGCTCCAGGGGCGCCGGATAAATGGCTGACCCTGCACTCTGATCCCCAGCTTCTCTCTCCCCCACTGTGTGCCTGTGTGTCTCATGGAGAGCAAGCTGGGGTATGCGAAAAAGACAAATTCCTAATACAAGAAACTGTATATGGCCAAAAAAGTGATCTTATTTGTACTCCTGTGAGAGGGAAGTAATTTAGCTGCTGAACCTTATAAATAATACAGCACTCAATCTCAAGCAGGGGATTCAGCCTGAAATTCTGAGAACATACTGTAAGAGTCTGATGAGTTTCTTAAAATCAGAATCTACTTTATTCTCCACATACAGTGGAAGTGTTTCTTGGGTTTGAGATGATAACTGAGACTATATAAAACATTTGTTGGTTTATACTGATGTATACAATCAGTGCAATATAAATGGCAATACCGTACAATGTGATACAGTACAAAGACGTCAGATTCAAGTGTGAATCATAAGATTCACGTGTGAGCTGCATGCATATACTGCACATGTTGTCAAGGGCCTCACACATCAGAGTAAGAGCACTCAGAATGAATGACTTCTTAATGTTTTCTGTAACCTTCTGCACTCTGAAACCTCCCGTGGGTGCTCATTTTTCAGATTGGAAGTGCAGTGCGTGTGATTTACTCTTAACGCTGCTTTCTTCGCTATTACTCCTGGTGTGGATGTGGTTCAGCTGGCTCTGTGTCTGACCAGTCATTCCGCTGCCCATGTTGATAGTCCCCGAGAGCTCGGCTCTAGCCCTGACACCCAGGGGAGAAGTATAGGGAGCACACACTCGCCCAGCTCTTGGACACGTTTGATTACTTCAGAGCTCCCCAACCTTCAAAAGGGAGACACTCTCTGCACTGCTGTTTTAAAACTCGGCGTTGTCCGAGACGTTTAGTTTGTCAATGCATGTACCCAGGCATTTAAAACAAGGGACACTCTGCACAAACTGACAATGTATATTTATAGCCGTTTCTTGAAAGAGACCAGATTATCAGTTTCAACAACGTGGCAAGGCAGCTTGTTACTCCCACCACCCTTAGAGTAAAGGTGCGCCCCCAGTTCTCAGATCTGGGCCTACATTGGAATATGTTGGAGTGGAGGGCTGTGTCAGCATGTTTTAGCTGCAAAAAGAGGCTCAACAGCTGAAGTTGTCTTACCTCCTGTTTTTCAGTATGGAATTCAGATTTACTTATTCCTTAATTTCAAT